AGAGAGAGAGAGAGAGAGAGAGAGAGATAGAGAGAGAGAGAGAGAGAGAGAGAGTTATAGAGCAGAGATGGGTTGGGATATCGAACCTCCGCTCGCGAACTTTAATATTGCCATCGTCGAGGCTGCTGTTGCTGGCATAGGCATTACTGTATTTTTTTAAAGCGGGCCAAATGACGTCAAATAGATTGTGATCCATGCAGGTAACACGGTGCTTGGTAGCATCGAAAACCGACCGCCTCAGGCAGCGGCCCAGTAAAGTACCGGACGTGCTGGCGCGACTCCCGTTGGGCGTCATCGGCATGGAGCTCCTTCTTCCAGGGACTCCAGCAGTACCGCCGCCGATGCCACTCGTCAGCAGTCGGAAGCAACGCTCCAGCATTGCCAGGGTCTCGGGCTCGGTCACATCGCGGCGACCCGACACCACATCGACACCCGGCACTGAGTTGCGGTTGCCGATTTTATGTTTGTTTTTTATTTGGATTTGTCCGGTTTGGCGTTCGTTCATTTGATTAATTAAGATGTCGATGATGGCGATGTGTATAATGACGACGGTTGTTGTCGATAGGTCGATATGTCGTTATGATGATAATGAAAAACACAAAATTGAGAGACTGTTACCGATGTTTAGTGCTTTATTATGACGAAAGTGTTATGCACAATTTTTGCGAGCAGTTTTGTTGGTGAGCGAACCAAGTTTATGGCATAATCCGACTGATTTTCTAACTGATATTTAATTGATATTAATACATTGTGTTGAATTAATCATTTGGAGGATCAACACTATAGAGAATATTAAATGAAATAAATTAAAAAGTACTTAAAATCTCGAATTTATTAAATTTCAAAATTGTTGCTATCAATAGTTCTTATATCAATATCAATTATTATTATTATTGTTATTATTATTGTTATTATTATTATTATTGTTGTTGTTGTTGTTGTTGTTATTACTATTATTATTATTATTATTATAATTATTATTATTATTATTTATGCGAATAAAAATCCATTGAATTTTTCCATACTATTTTGGCTTATAAAACTTTTTCATCGATTAAACGGCTTCCTATTTTTATAACAATTTTTTTTTAACTTAAATTATACTACTAATATAATGAGTTTAGTCGTGAAAAAATTGAAAATAATAATTATAATAGTACATGTAATTGTCAGATATTTAACTCATATTTAAGATAAACTCACGTTTATTATTTTAACCATAAACCCAGTATTATTCACAAACTTAAAAATAGATCGTGCCAACTTAATAAAAAATGTGTCAAAAGACAAATAATTAATCTGATTGTGCATTTCTGCAATTATAAGTCTTTAAATATGGGCTCTTGATCTTTCTTAATGTGTAAAAAGTAAAAATAATTGATCGAAATTTCGTGCTTTATTATTTCTTATATACTTTTTGGCAATACAAACTTTTTATAAATTTAATCATTCATTTAAGTATTATAATATATTTGTATTTTATCATCTTTGTAAGAAGTTTAGAATCACATGAATATGATAATTTTAAGTTAATATAAGTCAGTCTAATTTCGAAATTCTAATCTTATAAATCTGCAACAACTTACAGTGATACAAAATATAAAAGAGTATTATTATTATTGACCACGAATAACGAAAATTGTATCTTATTAAAAGATAATTATAAAAAAAAAAGTATCGAAAATGATCGATAATTTTTCCTCACTGTTTACTCCAAACTGCGAATTAACTAATTCTATTACAAATAATATTTATCTACAAAATTATTTACTAATGATATTTGATCTTGAATTATTTTTCAAAAATATAGTTAAATAGAGAATTTCGATTCACATATAATTTATCAGTCGGTAATCGTTTGAGTAGTAGAATAATATTCATAATAAATTGTATAAAAATCAAAATTCCATATGTCCATATGGCACATATGTTTGGAATTAAATTAATATTGCGAATAAAAGGAAGTAGAAATTAATTGAGTATTCGGTACAGTGATAAATTGCGAGCTATCCAAGCATCTTATTCAATATAATGGAAAAACCTAGGCTTCGAGTATATACAATGATTATATAAATAAGGTATTTGAATTGAATAACGTGATAATTTGTCAAATTTTGTTAATATTGTTGATGGATGTTGGTGAATGTACCTTTGTCGACGAGCATCTCATCAGCCAAGGATTCTGGCGCACCAAAGTCGCGCAACAATTGTTTGTGTGACAAATCATCCTGGTTTTTCTTATAGTAGTCTGCTTTCTGACCAAACTATTCATAATTACAATAATTATTAATTCACACGAAAATGAAGAATTCTTCTCCTATAATTATTCTCCGACATCTATTAAATTTTTATTTCGAATCATATTATATTAGTTGATCTATTACTATGCTCATAATAATATTCACTTAAAACTAAATTCAGTTATCTATAAAGAAACATAACTTTTGCTTTTAATAGATATTATCTTTAAGGAATTATTTTTAAACTTAAGGCGTAACTTATAAAAACCAAAAGAAGTAATAAATACTGAATGGATTATTTTCAATAATGAGCTTTAAAATTGTTTAATTCTTATTATTAAATGCAGCTTATAATAAGTATTTCCTTTTTTAAACATAACTTATTAATATTTATGTTAAATGGACATATAGATTTACAAACTAATCCTTGACAAAATAATGGAGAATTTATCACAAATAAAAAAATATGTATTATTTCAAGTTTCCCTTTTACATAAATAAAATATAACTAAATATTTTCATAATATTCATAGGCATGTCTGTAAGAAGGTAAATTTTTCATTTGTTCAACACCTAACACCTAGCAAGTCTCGTTGTATTTGATTATTAATTTTATCTCTCACGTCAATGTACATGGATAATGATATAAATTAATGAATTATCACAAGCTATAGGCCAAAATTATAATAATTGTTCCATTTCACAAATAAATATTTTTAATTATTTTTGAGGCTATAGCAATATTATTACAATTATTACAATACAATATAATTAAGGCTCACAATGTAATAAAATACAATATTATTCTTATTGTTGTTATTTTTTTCTTCTATTTTTATTGCTATTGTTATAATTATTATTTTTGTATATTAACTGTTTCCCCAATTTTAATGAAAAATATTTTTATTAAAATACAAACGTATATTATATTTTAAATTACGTTTTATTAATATTTTATTGTACTTGAAATGTTGAATGGAAATAACCAATGGTTAAAGAGACACAAGGAAAGAACGGTTTATGGTAATATCGATGTATGGAGACATATTTGTTACCCTTTTTTTAAAAAAAAAAAAAAAAAAAAAAAAAAAAATATTTATGTAATAGATACCACTATATAATTTAATAATAAAATAATTTATCCGATCGACCATCTGACAACTATAGTAATAAAACTATTAAAATAAAACTATTAGGGAATGAATTAAAAATGATAACAAAATGCTATTATTTGTAGAAGTTATTCAATGAAACGACATTAAAAGCATATAATCTTAGCAAATATCCAAATGTATATTCGTCATACATCTATTTTTAATCAACCGGATGTAAGAAATGTAAATTGTTTTAAACATTGCACACTGAAAGATTTCATGCAGTGATTACTAAAAATTACTACATCTACAAAGTATCTTGCAATCTCCTAAAATTTTACCGCAACATGTTAAACTATATATATATATATATATATATATATATATATCAATTTTAGTATTACGAGGCATTCCGTTACAGCTAATTAATAATTGGCTGGCTCGAAAGGAGATATAATAAGATTCCAATTATGCTGCGAATTTTTTTCATCTAGTTTGGCTGGATCGATATTTCACATACGCAGTCATCAATTGGCTACAATGTCAAGACTCGTTGAATAACTCTTACCTATCAACGGTAAAATCATTAGCATGGAAATATAATGCTGTTGGGGATGAGACTTAAAAACCTCCCGTGGATGTTAGGCGAAAGTGTTTTGCTAGCATGTGGAGGAGCCAGACGCAATTATTCAATTCAACACACTGTGTATCTTGGTTTTTTTTTTTTTTTTTTTTTTTCAATTTATTTTCTGAATACAATGATATGATTATAAATGGTGTTTATCGAATTATATTGATGGTGATTGTAAAATGATTATAAAATCTGTGAAGCTCCTTCGGTGATTTTCACGTGGTGATGGAATTTACAAGGAGGTGCGAATGAATCTCTCTGCTTCATTGAGGAGTGTCACGTTTAAGTGACATTTTAACAATTGATCCTTGAATCTGAGATTAATGTTATCATCAGTGGCTATTGTGAATCCTTGCAAACCGTTTTATGTTTTTTGTTTAAGATATGATGAAAGCCGTCGCTGATTTTAGTTGTCCGCTATGCCGTCGCTGAATTTAAATATTTGTGTTGCACTTTAGTTAATTTCACTCTTAAAAATCCACTTGCACTCGTGCTCTTTGAATATAACACTTGAAGGATTATGATTGTTTGTGGCGTAACTGTTAATTTATTAGATTATCAGGTGGTAGTCGACACGTTACTTGTGTGTATATTATAATTAATGTTATGTTAATTATTTATGTAAATGTTAATTAATAGCTGTGTAAATGTTGATAATCGATTGACTGAATTTTATTATCGTGCGACAATAGACGTAAATGATTGTTTTAAATTATTTGATCGAGTAATTGGTCAAGATAGAGTGAGTGACGTTGACTGCTGAGGTTGAATGTTTGATAAAAATACAGTGAACGCCGGTGCGTGGCGGCTGCTCTACAAATGTTAGCGTGGCAGCTTGCAACGCTGTCAGCAACGCTCGAGCTTGTTGCTAGGCCGAATGTCTTGATGACGTCACAGCGAAGCTGCAGAATTTTCGAGAAGTCTAGAAGGATTCGATAGACGTCACAGCGAAGCTGCAGAATTTTCGAGAAGTCTAGAAGGACAACACTGCCTTGGAAGGTTCGAGAAGTGTCAATCGTCGTTGCTATGAGGAAATATTGTCGAACGCTAGGCTAGAATAAGGCGCGGACGACTCAAGAACTCGCGGAATCAATGTTTACAAACATAAGCGTCCGAGAGTTCGTATTTATCGAATTTTTAAAATTCTTCGACGTTCCTCCAAAAACCTGACAAATGCATTCTAATGAATATAATAAAAAGATTATGCCAGGTTAAATGGGATATCTGTGGACAATTTTGTCTTTATCATTAGACGATGTCGATCATTTTAATCGTGAAATTGCAATTGAATTGAGGTGGAACGAACCTAGATAACAACAACAAACCATATAATATCACAAAACATAATGTCAAAAAAGCAAATTTAAGCCACATGATGATTTTACTATTTATTAAATGGACATTTATTACCCAGATGGACGATAATCTACCATATAAACTTGGTAATGAGTTAGTTATATTTTTATATATCTCCTTACCATATATTTGACACTAATACATCCAGGATTTGTAATCCGTAATAAGAAAAATTCTCATTGATAAAAGATAAACTCTGTTTAATAGGAAGTGTCTAGGAAGGTAGTTGCCATATAAGGACTAAAGCTGTCGAACTTTCTTCTCATACACAAGCCAAAATCGATCTGAGCAATTAGTTTACTAAGTCGATCCAGAACAAAATATATATAAGCTTTTAGCCAATATCCCTGACATAATCATTCGTCGTTTTCGCATCGAAAATGCACATAACTTTTTTCTATTTTATATATTAATTATATTATTTATTTATAATTAATTATATATATATATATATATATATATAATAATAATAATAATATAATTAATTATAAAACGCCATTATAAAAATTCCGTTTAAATATTCACACAATTATTTAGTTTATTGTATAATAAAATAGAATGACTTGTACATTATTCATTTCTCAAAATTTAATTTCTCATTTAAATAGTACACTAATATAGGATCAATTGTAATCTAAATATAATTTCTCTTTTTCCGATATCAAACCAATACCAATATTTAGAAGTTATGTCTTAGAATTTTGGCTTCATCATCATTGATTATGCGAGTATCGATAGCGCCAATGTAATATAATAGACCGAGCATCTAATACCCTCCTACCCTCATTATTATAATTGTCATAAATTGATAAGGAGTCATCAAGGCTATCGCCAAATTTTCTCAAATCCGTTCAAAGGCAAAAAACCACTGATCTCTATGGCGGAAGCAATGGTAAAAAAAAAACAGCTGCAATTAAACGCTTGAGTAGCACAATGTACTGCGCCGTCGAATTGCCATTAGAATTGATTATTATTCTCAGGCGAAATGTGCTTCGCGTTAAATTTGTGCTTGATGATAATATCAATGTCTAAAGTACAAATTTTAAGTCACGTAAAATAATTTTAGGTTTTATTTTTCGTCGTTGTAACGTTATCTCCATAAAACAGCAATCCCTCAAGACCGTTGCCATATAAATAATTCCTACTCATCTTATGGAAAATTAGTCATGAATATTCAACGGTATTAAGTAACTAAAATTATTGCTTTCAAACTAGCGTATATTTATTGTTTATAAATATTTACACATTACACATTTATTTTCTTTTATTCATTCATAAACATAGTTAATCAATCTACTTTCAATTCGCTGCGAACACAGCAACAATATACATGTAATAATATATTTGTGCAAATAATAAATTCTAATCTGAATGTAATTATCAAAAATTTGAAATAATTCTAATTATGAATTGTAAATAAAATTATAAATCGGTTTAACATTAGGAAATTCTATAGTTATCGATAATTTATTGTTGGGTAGGAGAATTAAAATATTAAGTTTTTAATCGTATTTAATCGATATCAACCATTACTTTATCACTCGAGCAATTTCTTTAAAAATCTATAATAAATAAAAATTAATAATGCACGATTAATTAATTATTAATGATAATTTATTTTATATAATAGTCTATTTTCAATTAAATTTTCTTTATTGATATTCCATCGTATATTTATATAACTATATTTATATTTATGTTTCTCAAATTCATAGTTAAAATACTTAGATAATTTGATATGTCTAAGATTAACTTAAATCACCTCAAATATTATTTTAATTCATTTTTATATTAGATACCTCTTGGCTATGAAATTTTTTTATTTGATTTTTGTTTTATCATATCATTATGTTTATTATCCAAATATAATTAACAACTGTTGAATTATCATTTTTATGCAATTGACAATTCATTATACAAATTTTATTTATGATTCGCATGCGTATTTTAACTATTTATCTTTTCAATGTATTTATCGTATTTATAGCCATTTTAGAATAACAAATTTTATTATTTATAATTCTCATTTACATTTATATTACGCGATTGTCCAGCATATTTTGTATATTTATATTGCGTTTTATAACAAAAATAAAATTTTTAAGAATAATCTGTATATGCAAGATTTACTTGTAAAAAACCTTTTTGAAATATAATTTATAAAATGTAAATATTAATCTTTTTGAAAGATTTGATTAAATTAATACAAAATTATTTTATAAGAAAAAATTATATTCTAAATAGTACTTTGTGCAAATACTGGGAAATATATGCATACGAGTTTTATTCATCGCTTTTTATGACTTTTGTTACACAAAATATTGATAAATTTATAAAGAATGTTAAGAAAGATGTTGATAGCGTAGTTTAAATCGTTAATCATAGATGAACGTTCAATGCCAATTATTTAATATGCAAAAATCTGTCAAAACTTTTTCTACATTTTCTGATTTTATTTCATTATCGAATGTTAATTAAAATCTTATTTAAATTAATTTTACGAATTATAACATGTATAATGTAAGTAATGAATTTAGTAAAAGTAAATCAAATTTAAACTTATTTTGTAGTTTGAAAAATTTTTTGAGTTGTTTGTAAAATTTTTTTTATTTAAATTCCTTTTTCTAATTAGCCAAGTTAATCAAATATGTATATTAATTTATCATTTTTTTCACAACATATTTTATTATTGTGTCATAATATATTATAGGTCATGTAATACATTTCGATTGTATAGATTTTTGAAATTGATTTTGATGCCTAATCATTTTATTGATAATTATTTTACTAACTGTTGAAAAAAAAATAAAAAAATATTTACTTATTTCTTATTTAGTGTAGCATTTTTATTTCATTACATATATAGATGAAGTTCATGTGCGGTATATAAACAACTCTAAAAAGATCAT